TTAAGGGATTAAATGGTGGAGAGGGTGCTAAGTCCAACGATGTTCCAGGAAGTAGTCGTCAACAAGAGAACGTTGGGATCCACAAGGAAGTTGATGGTGGAGTTGTGAGTCTATATTCGATTTTGTTTCTATGATCACAGCTTTGTCTACCTTTAAAATCAGTAATCCTTTTTTTGTTTAATTGATATGTTTTCAGTTTGTACAAGGGAGTGGTGAACGTAATGAAGATTTTGATGATGATGGTTTCCCTCTTTGGACTACAGAAATGATTGATGAGATTGATAGGACGACCGAGGGGAAATTGAAAAGCATGCAAACTGCCAACAAATCAGTAATCCTTGTTTATGCATATTGTTTTTTGTTGGTTTATCTGTGGTTTATCTGTGGTTATAGTCATTTGTTAATGATTAAAGTATTTGAACAAATGCGTGTGTGTGTGTGTGTAGGTTTATATATTCAATTTATCTGGTTGGTGTTGGTGCAATGGATGTGCATAAGGTTTCAAATTCACAGTTTATCTTACCGTTCGATGTCCTAAAAATAAACCTCATGTTTTCCTTGAATTGAAATCAAAAAGTTTATTCACAGTTTATCGTACCATTCGATGTCCTAAAAATAAACCTCATGTTTTCCTTGAATTGAAATCAAATAGTTTATTCACAGTTTATCTTACTGTTCGATGTCCTAAAAATAAACCTCATGTTTTCCTTGAACTGAAATCAAAAAGTTTATTCACAGATTATCGTACCGTTCGATGTCCTAAAAATAAACCTCATGTTTTCCTTGAATTGAAATCAAATAGTTTATTCACAGTTTATCTTACCGTTCGATGTCCTAAAAATAAACCAAAAAAGTTTATTCACAGGTTAACCAGAATGCGGATGATCAAGTGCCGGTAGTCGACATTCCATTTGAGAAAAGCAAACGTGTAAAAAAGGGACCAGTTATTTGTAAGTCATGCCCTTTCGACACCGATTTTTGGGACACGATACGTTTTGATGTAACTGATGATTTATTTAAGTGGCTCAAGGTGGGTAAGCTTAAGAAGCGGCGTAAGAAAAATGAAGGGTATGTACTTTCATTTTGTTGTTTTTATTACATTTCTTCATTTGTTCATTTTTCTTATTTTAAATTTAATTCATCTTCTGAAAGGTTTTTGTTCTATGACAAGAAGCATACAACCTTAAGCCCCCCATTTGATTTTAACGTTGACGTGATTTCTGATAAGAATTGGTTCTACACCTTGTATGAATCCGACTGTTTCCTTGACGGTAGTGTAAGTATCATTTTACTGTGATGGTCTTCATCCTTTTTTCTTTTTTCGCATACTAATTTTTAAATATTTATTTTTCAGCATATTGATGTTTTGTTCTACTACATCCGAAAGATTGGACTGTATGCGCTTGAACCGTCTCAGAAATTTACTACCACTGATAATTTTTTCGACCAACAAATGAAGTCACTATATTCTTTGTACATTGTTAACTCATGTGACCCCCGGATTTGTACGATCAATAGTGTCATTGTCGACTACATGTTTGGCTTCAAAATTATCTGTGGGCAGTCATGGCTCAATGTTGATCACGTACTCTTTCCGATTCATGTTGAATTGCAAGGCGTAGGCCATTGGATATTAGGGAGGTTGTCGTTCGCAACTAGGACGTTGATGATTTATAACTCCTATCGATCGACTGATTTTGACCAGGTTGTGCTAGAGAGTGTTAAACGATATTCCATATTGATACCCATATTTCTTGATTTGGTACACTTTGTCTCTAGACGTGCTGACATCAAAACAAACATTGGTCCCTACTCGGGCAAGGCAGAGAATGATCCTCTTGATGTCATTTTCGTGGAAGATTTGCCCCGGCAGCAATGCTGGTAAGTTGTATTTTAATTTAGTTTACAACTTTGATATGTTCTTTTTTATTTAACTATTAATTACATTTTTTCTATATTTCTTGTTTACATTCTTGCCAGTGATTGTGGTGCATTTGTTGCTGCTTTTGCGGAGTATTTTGTTTCTAATGAGCCCATCAATCCTGATACCTTTGACATTGATGTTGAGCGGTCAAGGTTTGCATACCTATTGTACACACATGGAAAAATGAAGCAGGAAAAAGAATCCGAGAGTGATGATGATTCGCCGGGTCCGTTGCCGGCAAATTATCGAAGTTCGCTAGTAGTTCCCCCTACTAATTAGCATTAGGAATTTTGATGTTGTTTAGTGATGTTGGTTGACATTGTTTTCTATCATGTATTTTTGTCCGACTATGTAGACAAACTAAACTCTGGCGTTTCTCCTTTTTGGGCATGGTGTGTTATGGAATATGTTGGACATGTTTTGACTGATTGTATGTTATCAGGTTTATTTCTTGTTGTTTTTATGTATTGTATTACATTTTTCTGCAATTCATATGTTGTTTTAAGGAATATTTGTAGTATTTCTGTATTTTACTTGTAATATTTTTCATGTCTATCAATGACTATCAGGTCCCAATATTTTTTGTACTTGTGTAATTTATGTGTTTATTTGTGGAATTTCTAAACTATTTTATATTTTGTGAAAAAGATGATGGTTTTATTATGAATAAATGGTTTATTTTTAGTAGTTGTTTGAATTGACAATATTTTTGGCACGTTTTGATGTTGTTCTTGCATTATTTTTTGGATTTTTCATGGTTGTTGCTATCAGAATCTCATGTGTCCATTTGGTGTTTACTTTTTGTATTTTCTGAGTTTCTCTTTGGGTAATCTAAACAGTATCTTAACAATCAAATTACATACAAATCTATACACAATTACACTAATATCAAAATATCAAACTACTACTCCACATACATACCGATTTCAAAATGTAGTTTAAAAATCGATACCACCAATATAACACAATGTCAAGGACCAATCGCAACCTATATAAAAACCAATATATCAAATCTGTTGCACTCAAAAAATATTCACAGTTTGTAATTAGATCAACAGAGCATCAACTTTGAAAATAATTGAAAAATAAAACCTGCAACTTCAACAATGGTTATCTCCTCTAATTTTTGCAGGATTTGGGCAGGTCTTTACATTATGGCCCCTCTCGTCGCATTTTCCACACTTGTTCTTTTTAGGAGGCTCAAATGCAGACTTGTATCGTTCGTTTCGCCTACGCCCCGATTTCGCTCTGCCTATAGGTGGTTGCACCATTCTCTGTTTTTTATTGTCCACAGCATCAAATGTTTGCGAACCTTCGATAGGATAAACTGCTTCAGCATACGTCTCCAAAAAGTTTGCCGTCTTGTAGTAATCAGAGCAAAATGGCACTGGATCAATATGTAAAGACCGGATGACACGTATGGCATGTGGACATGGTATCTCATCCATTTGAAATCGATTGCAAGTGCACGTCTTGGCATCCAAATTGACGACATGTGAATACACATCGTTATACACCTTATAAACTTGATCGCTTGCCTTCTGGACCTGTCATCATATACACAAATTTAGTTTCATCCACAAATTTAGTTTCATACAGAATACTTATTCTATTAAATTATTTCAATATAAACATAATATAAACTTACAAACAAACGGGAAGCCACTTTGTAATTTTCTTCAATGATATTGTTTGCTTTTTTTGTCAGGATAGTAAACATACACTTCGCCTCCTCTCGATTCGCCACGTTCCATTTTTGTTGTATTGATCTCAAAGATTCAAGCAACGTTGTTATAGGTAATTCACGCACCACTTTTGTAGCCGAGTTTATAGTTTCTGCTGCGTTTGACGTCATTGTGAAGTATCTATTTTCTTGACAGTGGATACGAGCCCATTTGTGAAAGCCTATAGTTTCAAGATGTGTTGGTACCCTTGGATCCAACTTCTTCAGTTCCACCATGTACTTGTTGAACTCTTCCTTTGTATATGCTCTAGAGGCTCCAATAAATGCATTCTTAACTGCCGTTGTTTCCATTCTGAAGTGCTTCCTCAAATTGTTGGCGATATGGTAAGTGCACAAACAATGTGAAGCTTCTGGATATACCTATAGTAAAGTGAAATATAAAATAATTTTATAAAGTACAGAACATAATCATTCAAAAGAACACTAATTTTATATTATCTTGCAGGTCATCCATAAAAAGAAGAACTATACTGGTGTTTTTCATAATTACCTTTGATATGCCGTATTTAATGCTGTAATGTTCGTCTGAAACGATGCATAATCCCTCTCTCTCAGGTAGGGCAGATTTCAACTTGCTGAAAAACCAAGAGTATGACTCATTGTTTTCCGAGTCCACGACGCAGAAAGCTAGTGGGAGTACGTGCGAATTTGCATCTTGCGTACATGCTGTGAGTAAAACCCCCCCGTATGTAGACTTCAGAAACGTTCCATCAACCACAATGATAGGCCTACAATGTGGCCAACCCTTGATCGAAGCATTTAGAGACATGAACAGGTACATGAAATGTTTATCTTCAGTAGTACATAGATTCACAATGCTTCCGGGATTCGAGTGACAGAGCTTTTGGAGGTATTCATTAATGTATTCGTATGACTCATCCGGTTTTCCCTGTACCTCGTCTAGAGCCTTGCGCTTTGATCTCCATGCCTTTTTGTATGATAAATCGATACCATATGTCAACTTCATATCGTGTATAATTTCTCCAGGGTTGTATTTTGTATTCACGTTTGTGAATTTCCCCTTTATGCATTCACTAACAAGTGTTGACGTGGCTTGTCGTTGGTTGTTTGTTCTGACCTCAAACGGACAATTGTGATCATTCACCATTTCCCGGATTTTGAACATACTCGACTGTCTTACTCTAGATGATTTAATGAACCAGTTGCACCCATCCCATACACACTTTACGAAGTACTGTTTAGGACACGATTTTTCTACCTTGAATTGGAACTGGTTTTTGATTGCATATATCGCAAGCATTTTCTGCAGACTTGTTTTGCTGGGAAAAGAATGTCCGACTGATGGATTGTGCATCACTTCGACCGCATTACCTGATGTTGAATCAACAACTCCATATGTGGTCTGTTGTTCTTCAACACTTGATGCAGCTAATGACATGGCTTCGGCAGCTTCCCTTGCAAAATCCATAAAATTCATTGAGTTTGAAGCCCCATAGTCAAACTGATCAAAGTCTGAAGCAGCAACAATACACTCATTCCATGCAACTTCATTGGGACCGGCATTGATGAGGAGTGGAACTGGTACCAAAGCATTTTTCTGTTCCTTAATCACACATACTGGAAACTTAGTGTAATCAGCCTCCATTGACTTCAAATCCATGTAGAATCCAAGGCTTTGATCATCATCAATTTTAATTGCTGGATATCCATCTCGTACCTGATACTTAAAACTCAATATTGATTCCATTTGGTTTATCTTCAGTAGATCTCCAACTTGCTTTGTGAAATCTCTGAAACAAGTAGTCTGATTCACCGAAATTCCACCAACTTCGAAATCAATGTAAGTGTTGTTACACCACTCCCCATTGTAGTGCAAAAACACCATAATTGGAGACATTTTGCTGCAAACTACAACACAAAAAACCTCAATTAGTACAAAAAAAAAAAAAAAAAAGATTCTGTTCAACGAAAAAAGCATTGGCTACCTCAAATCAGACGAAAAATATTCGAAATATACCTTTAATCTCCCAGATCGATGTCGACTTGAGATTTGAATGACAGTGTTTGCGAGCTCGAGATTCAGAAAACTCCCTCTCGACACGATTTCCGCATTTCCATACCAGAGAGGTAATTTTTTCTGTTTTGGAATCTTCCTTATTAGTTGCATCTCTTTTATTCCAAAAAATCGCGAGCTGATATCGGTGAGAATCAGCTGAGCAGCGATTTTCTTTCCTTCTGTTTTAGTTTCGTAATTTTGGACATTAACTTTTATGCGGCCTCAAATCTGCGTTTAAAACTTTAATCTCGTTTAATTGGTCTTGCTGTGGGTTTAACACGTGGATGTGTATTTTTGCCATTAATATATGGTATTACTGATATTATCGGTTAGTATAATACGACTAGGCACAAATTCAATTTTGGTACCTTAACTATACATGTTTTTCACTTTTAATACCCTATGTATTCACTTAATCAATTTTGGTACCCAAAGTTTCTACAATTAATTAGTTTCAATCTGAACCATTAAAATTCCGTAAAAAATAGTGCCAAAAAAAAAAGTTCGGTAAAAAATTAATGGTGCAGGGAATTTCCCGTTGCGCACGCTGGAACTGTTCAAACTCGCCGGAAAATAAGAAAAATAAGATGGAAAATGAAAAAGAGAATAGAAAATAAAAATTAAATTAACTATAACTCAAAAATAAAAGTTGATAGAGAGTTATTGTAGCCCATGAAACGGGAAATAAATTTAGAGTTTATAAATTTTAGACAATCGAACCTAGGTGAATTTTATCTTTTGGAGAAAAAAATTGATAACTGAAATAAATAGGTATGTTTTTGCTCAATTTCACACCATAGATGAACTTAAAACTTGTAAATGATAAAGGGCTATTGTAGATGGTGAAGAGAGGAATAATATGAGAGTTCACATGTCAATTTTGGACAACTGAGGCTCTGGGAAACCAAATTGTATGATTGAAAATTTGGAAAAGAAACCGCACGGTTTGTAGCTCAAATTCACTAAATATATGAAACTAAAACTTGAAATGGATAAAGGGCTATTGTTTCCCGTGAACAAATGTACAAAACAATATATCATCTATCAATTTTGGATGTTCGAAGAGATAGGAATTGAAGTTTCGATGCTTGATGTCGCGTCCGCGCGTCGGAAAATTTTGGGCGCTTTATTGGCGGTTTTAGGATTCGATAAAAAATCGAGAAATACCGTTGAATTCCTCTAGACAGTGGATCTCATATATTGCACATAAATATCCAACGGTTGGATCTCGTATATCATTTGAATAAACTTTAATGCGCAATTTTCTAGAAAAATTCCGTGGCAATGGGGTTGGTGGCGGGCCGCAGACATGGCGGTTGGCGGCGGTCCTCGTTCGGAGGCGGGTGGTGGTTGAGGTGGCCGGAGAGATAGTCGGAGAAGATGAGTGATTAGTGTTTAATTAGTATTATTATAATAATTTTTAATTTGTTAATTATTAATTAAATATTTTTATTATTTTATTAAGTTTTTAATTAATTAAAATGAATATTTGTAACATTTCTGTTAAAACTTAATGGAATAGTTAAGGGGTTGGACTAAAATTGATTAACAGTCGAAATTTATGGTACCGAAATTAATTAGATAAATACATGGGATAATGAAAGTGAAAAATTAGTATAATTGGAGTACGAAACTGAAATTTTCGGATACGATTATTTAAAACATCGATTTATTGTATGTTAATTGAATATTCATCAATTTCTAATGAAGGTTCTTCAATTTTTAAATTGATGTACTTTTAGGGTGCTTTTGTATATTAAAAAAACTCAATTCATACTCAAAATTTATTCAACTTTATTACCCTCAAACTATTATTTCACATCATCTCCTCTTACTTTTACATCAAATCAATTCTAATTATTTTATTTTTAAATATTATTGTAATATAAAATTAAAATTCCACTAACAATTACATATACTACTTTTTTTCAAAATTAATTATAGTTACCAAAAATATTCATTTTGAGCGGATATATTTGTATACAAATTAGTCCTTACTGAAGCTCCATTGATTTCTAATGAAGGTTCGTCAATTTTTTAATTCATGTATTCCTTAGTCCTTACTGAAGTTCCATTTATTGACTCAAGCGTGAATGGATATGAGTTATGATCCAATTCAATCGGTTATAATCGGTTGTCGTTTTATATATAATCATCTAATTCAAAGTTCAACTCAACCTAACTCTCATACTTTTTTATAAATATAATTAAATAATATCAATTAATCATTTTCACACATCGCATCAACTTTAATTCATTATTTATCCACTCACATAACTTAGTTATCTATCACTTCTTATAATCTTTCTATTACTTTTACATTATATTAACTTTAATCATTACATTTATGTTAAATATTATTTCATTTTGAATATACTTTATTCAAAATAACTCATTTTAACTCACGTAGTTAGATCATAACTGATTTAATCCATATCCAATCGCCACTAGATTCACTCGAATTCAAAATGGGCTTTTGCATACTGGGCTTACCTACTCCAATATATGATGCATCATTGATGAGGCCCATGATACCAATGACACAATATGAACCGATTGATGAGTCCATCCTTTTTTCTTAATGACTTTAACTAGCAAAAGTCAGTTTTGGCTTGATAACATAAAATATTCCTTATTATAGTGAATTAATTCCCTTTGTCCTTGAAATGTCTCCCTCGCAAAGGTTTTCTTTTTCTTGTTACACTTGTTCTCAATTGAACTGTCTCACCACCGCCAACATAATCTTGTGAACAAAAATATAGAAAGATATGCTTAAGCCTAAAGCACGATTTTCTTCTTTCTTTGGTGAGAATATGAGTCAATAGAAGCTTGAACCCATAGATCTGAGTGAACCAAAATCTTCAATTACGGAATAAATTTCGCTCTCATTCTTTAACAATAAAAAATAAAATAAAATTGACCTAATGCTTTGTTTTTCTTAATTTTTTCCTATAACAATGTGACAATAACAGTAGTAATTACAATCTACAAAGACCACATCAGGCATCCTAGTGTCTGGAATTGGGCTTTGCTTGGTCAAACAAGTTTTACACAGTAGGCCCAGTTAGTAATTATCCAAATTATATTGGGCCCTTCTTGTCTACCTGGCCCATTGCTCGTACAGTCAAGTACTGTCTGTCCTGAAAATCAATGTTTTCTCTTCATCTTTTTGGCAACTTCTCTTTTTCTTCTTTGGGGAAACATCTTTTTCCCAAACTTTAACTTTAGCTTAGACTAAATCATTTACTATCTGTTTGGTCAATGTATTTAAAGTACATACTTACATGGGACCTGAATCTCACTATATACAACAAATACTGACATATTTTTTTTTTTTGGAATAACAGTATTTTGTTGAAATAAGATGATTTTTATTCCTTATTATACTTTTTTTTTTTATTATTTTTCTTAATTTATTATGCATTGCTTTCATTTTTTTTATATTGATTTCACAACTTTTTGTCAAGATTATCTTGGTAAATTACTACTTAGGTAAAACATCAATTTTTTTATTACCTTTCATTCAATTAGGTATTCTTACGTGCCAAACCATCTCCCATCACCTCTAGAGTACTATTAATTGGCCACTGATTTCCCAAGTTTTTATAATGATAGCACTTTATTGTTCATGAAAATATATAAATTTAAAAAAATTAAAAAGTAAGTTGTGCCATGAATAGTATAAAGCCTCACGGGCAAAATGGGAGGTAATTAATAAGAATTAGATGCTTTATGGCTATACTCGTGACACATCCGATTGACAAAAACACAGGTCAATAACTATTTAAACACGGGACCAAAACATAAAATCTGATGTATTAACATCTAATTTTTCAAGATTATTATTCGTGTGTAATGTTCTTGAATTTTTTTAGATTCATTAATCAACATTATAGTTAGATAATAGCTACCTCTTCCTACAGTTCAAAAATAGCATTGTGGTACTGATAACTCATCCATGAATCATAATTAAAGCCATCAAGATATATTTAATTAAAAAACAATATTACTTAAAGTACATATTCCACCAGGCACCAAGGATTGATTGAAATAAATTGTTTGTCTGATAGCAATTTTGTACTAGTAACACTGGTGTTAGGTTGACCTATAAATATATGTTTTTTATATATATGTATATTTTTAAATTGAAATAGTATGCTTTAAAGCACGACATCAATAAAAATATGACATTTTATAGGACAAATATGTATTTTTATTAGGATGTGACTGATCAAGCCTTAATCTCGCTCATAAAAAAAATAAAGAATTACAAAGTTTGTTTCTTCAATGAATTTGTGTAAAATGAACTTTTTCAAAATCTCCACTACTTATAAAATTGGATTTGGACAACCAAATTGTTGGATTTTAGACGTACGAATCAATCACACACGCAGCGGAATTTTAGTGATTTTCTTACCAACAAGAAAGGTCCGACTGTAGCTATTCGATTGATC